CGAATCCCAATTAAAGATAATTGATAGGTGTCCTTTCTCTAGAAAAAAAACTAATTACAAAATGCGTTTTGCCCCTTTTGAATTTTTCAAGGGTGTGTATGTGGAAGTGAAATAGAAAATTGGGGAGATAGCGATTTCCAGTTCCGTAAGCAATTTCTATAAGCTGTCATACATGCCACTTTAATGGCATCTCATAAGACCAAAACAAGATGAATTTAACGCATTTCAGATAGAAAATATATACATTTATTAAAAACTTCGTAATACCGCCATATTTATGCCAGGCAATGTGTTTGTTATAAAGAGTTTTAGGGCATATCGAGAGGGACTTAAAAGGGAAACGGGACAAAAATTCACAAAATGTGTAAATGTCGTTGTTACATATGTTTTCTGATTCACGAGGGCCTGTGAACAGTAAAGGGAGATAACCCAACGTCCGCACAGCATATTTATATAAATGATGATAGTGTCGAGGCAGATGATTATGTAATCATATTTACTTGCGAGGGCATGTAGAGCAATAAATCACTCACGATTTATGTTTTGTCTGGGACAGATAGTTCATGCACAGCAGAGACTAATACTATGGAATGGCAGACACGCTACAGTGTATACACAATGCTGTACGTATACGTCTCACAGCAGCTAGGGTTATATGGGGAAGCATATGTACAAATGCTTTATCAATAATTGAGGTGATAAATTGGAGAGTTGTAAATAAGTTTAGGAATTCAGTCTTAACGATGACCATGTTGTGTGAAATGGTTAATCTACATCCTGCAGAGGCCCTTTAGTGTAGCGACATATTATCATTAAAATCGTCGACAGGATTTGATAGTTTTACGTTTGCTTTTGTATTTCCTGAAAAAAACACCTATTACCGGTAGCTAGCTGAATAAATGAGCCTGTGGCTAGAACATTATGTGTCATCAAATATATTTTTTTTCATTATTTTACTATTGTATCGTCGAGCAGACTGTATAAGTAAGAAGCTTCGCTAGCTTATTGAAACTTAAGTACAATGACTTTTCACCTCCAAACTATTTTATTTTTTTAACTTTTATCGTGTTTGTGCTAAATATGTTAGTTTAGAAATTATTTTGAATCCAGACCATTCATTAACTAAGTTTAAAAAGGAAACAACAAATATCAAAGTTTATCATTTTACATGAACATATCCCCGAGCTGACAATGCAGGTCTCGACGCCACAGTATATTAAGTTATTGTATATAGTAAGTTACCATCTTTAATAATCTATATTTTCATTATGTATGATTCAAATTTAATACAAACCATTCATGTTATTTTCAAAATTCAAAGGGTTTAGAATAATAACCAATAGACATCATCCTAAAAAATATTCATTTCATTATCCACATGAGGGCGCATCTGTTACAATCCTGGTCAGCTTTGTTATCATTTAAACACCTTTTTCTGGTGCACTTTTAGTACGTAAAACTCTTACATCAGTCTTGAATACATGGCTGAAACACCTGCTCGAGGAAAGACTGAAACTGTGGCATATTATAACTCAATTATAAGACAAAGAACAAAATACCACAAATTATCAATCAACCATTATATAAGAAATCAGTTATGTTATACGACTTTGGGTAAAGGCTCACTTGGACAGACCAAACGGATACACAAAGAAAAAAGGGACAATGAGTAATAAAACCACGATCGATAGGTTAACGACCTGTCGTCGAAAGTGCAGGAAAGTGTTCAAGAACATCAGAGGGCTGGGACTAGATGTGGCCGTAGCGAGATAGGCACGCACAATCGTCAGTAACTCTGTTTGAGCGTGAGGAAAGGACACGGAGAAAGACTTAGTCTGAGTCACAGGGACCTGAGTGCCAGCAAAGGCTCTGTTTAGATGTGGGAAAGGACACGGAGAAAGACTTAGTCTGAGTCACAGGGACCTGAGTGCCAGCAAAGGCTCTGTTTAGATGTGGGAAAGGACACGGAGAAAGACTTAGTCTGAGTCACAGGGACCTGAGTGCCAGCAAAGGCTCTGTTTAGATGTGGGAAAGGACACGGAGAAAGACTTAGTCTGAGTCACAGGGACCTGAGTGCCAGCAAAGGCTCTGTTTAGATGTGGGAAAGGACACGGAGAAAGACTTAGTCTGAGTCACAGGGACCTGAGTGCCAGCAAAGGCTCTGTTTAGATGCTGGGAAAGGACACAGAGAAAGACTTAGTCTGAGTCACAGGGACCTGAGTGCCAGCTAAAGCTCTGTTTAGATGCTGAGAAAGGACACGGAGAAAGACTTAGTCTGAGTCACAGGGATCTGAGTGTCAGCAAAAGCTCTGTTTAGATGTGGAAAAGGACACGGAGAAAGACTTAGTCTGAGTCACAGGGACCTGAGTGCCAGCTAAAGCTCTGTTTAGATGTGGGAAAGGACACGGAGAAAGACTTAGTCTGAGTCACAGGGACCTGAGTGCCAGCAAAAGCTCTGTTTAGATGTGGGAAAGGACACGGAGAAAGACTAAGTCTGAGTCACAAGGACCTGAGTGCCAGCTAAAGCTCTGTTTAGATGTGAGAAAGGACACGGAGAAAGTCTTAGTCTGAGTCACAAGGACCTGAGTGCCAGCAAAGGCTCTGTTTAGATGCTGGGAAAGGACACAGAGAAAGACTTAGTCTGAGTCACAGGGACCTGAGTGCCAGCAAAGGCTCTGTTTAGATGCTGAGAAAGGACACAGAGAAAGACCAAGGGCCTGTTCGTTTATGCGAAACAACCGGTTTGACCGTTTATAAATATAACAATTTCGGGTATAAATCCTGGCGAACCTGCAAATGTTTATGCAGGCCTTGCAAGGCTTTGTGAATGCTCGCCTGAAAGCAGCATCAGACTACTATAGGCCCGACCTTATTTAATAAACGAACAACAGTGGTCCGACCGGTTTGACCGTTTAAACGAAAACGGCCTAGGATAGTCGGAGTCACAGGGACCTGGAACTCGTTACAGCTATATTTGGACCTAAACCAACGTTTTACACGGGAATAGATAAGTTCTCTATAAGAATGTCACCCACATGATGATAATATCTAATCATTTTTATATAATATCATAACCGGTAAAATATTTTTTTTAGCATGCCAAATATGGTCAATGCACAATTTCACATAATCATTAAGATTTTATTATCATTGGTTATTATGGTAAAAATGAAACATTTTCTTATTTTTTTATCATCCTAAAACACTTCATTATATTAGGCATGTTATTAAGTTATGTCCAGCAGTGATAACTCATTTTTGCTTCCTCTGGAGAACTACTTAAGGTTGAGAATTTGTTATTGACAAAGATATTCAGATATATGAAAACAATAAAATATTCTTAATAATAAAACTAATATACACTTTATCATCAGTTTATTTTGCCTTTTTCTCATTCATTAAACAAAATATGAAGGAATATTACATTATTTTATATCTTTAACAAGTAAAGCAATGGAAGATATCCTTGTCTGACTCACCATACAAAAGTTATATTTTGCATATTTGAACGAAGGTCAAGGTCACCAATGTTTAGCAAATTTATATCCTTTCACAAGAACAAGCTTCCTATACCTATACCTTGTTGTATTAACCTTGTTTCGAAATTCCAAGCAGGGGCCGACGCTAATGTTTAATCTCCATAGGCGTTGACCCTACCTTTATAAGTCGGTACTTGAACCAGGGGCGAAGCTAGCCTTTGTTCGCAGTGGATTCATTTAGGAGACGGTCCAGAACAGGTCATTGGAAAGGGGAACACGGGGGTACAAAAAGCAGTGTTTTTTATCGTGTTTTGTTTTTCTGTTTGAAAATTTGGCGGATTCACTTACGTACTAGCGTATAGGCAGATAAAGGTCTGACTTCTGAATAAGAAAAAAAGGCGTGGATATGAGTGTTCAAGCATAGCATGGTAACCAAGGCTGACGTTGTTCATGCAACTGTATTTCATCCCGATGTCAACATTGGAATCGCTTAAGAAAATTGTGAGATGCACTATATGAAGCTTCACAGCTATCGACCTGTACCACTGTATCATAAAGCTGCAGATTTTATTTATATCAGTCGGAAACGAATTGCAAGGTACAGAGTAGTAAAGACACAGAGGGTCTCCAAACTATCATCAGCGTGACAGGGGTTCGGAAGACACAGAGGGACTCCAAACTATCATCAGCGTGACAGGGGTTCGGAAGACACAGAGGGACTCCAAACTATCATCAGCGTGACAGGGGTTCGGAAGAAATAAAAGGAAAGAATCTGCAGACTGCACGTGCACAGAAAGCAGCACATGACTCTCTCCTATTTCAAACAATGTAACATGGGAAGCACCCAATAAAGCAAATTGTGTAGAATGTGGGAAGAAGGGACAAGAGAAAGCAGAAATATCTAGAAACCAGCAATCAGGAGACACTAACCATACTTGGCATGAACAAATTTTGTAAACATGAATTAGAAATTTAGGTTAACTCTTAAGTTTAAAGATTTTTTCATCATTGATTTGGATACTTTTTCGTTCACTTGAATATGATATATAGCTAAGACACCCGAAATCTTCTCAATCACCCCTTGTAGGTTTTGGAAAAGAAATACTTGCTGCATCCGACTGCATGATCCTATGAGGCGACTAATGTTGGACCACGTGTACGTAGAATTTCGGGTTGACGTTAAAGAAGGGGAATTCGTTCTACAACACCCATTACCGTACTTCGGATATTAACCCTTCCATCCCTTACAGTGTTTTACAACTTGTTTATGTGTGTCATTTGCCAAGTTGGCACATCTACTAGTTTCCCAACCTCTGCCATCTGACCTTATGTTACTTATCGTTTAAAGACAACTGAGATTTTAATGCCAAATAAAATCTTCTTCACACAACACCCCAGCGCGACTGTTTGTGTACTAGAACTTGTGTTCAGGCGTGACATACATATCGGTAAATGCTAATTGGAAATGACTGTAGAAAATTGGCGGGATATGTGACGTCACAGTTGTTTACATACGCAGCACCAATATTGGCGGGAGGTAGTAGCGCTCTATAAGTAGGTTACACTTATATGTATAGATACGATACCTTTGTTTGAGCAGACCTTATATAGTTGATTACATTGGCTGTAACGAATCTAACGGGACAACACTTCTACCAGGTAAGGTTATACATGTACAATATACCGCATATAGATCATGTACAATGTACATATATAACAATGGTTAGTAATATATCGATCGAAAGCAAATGGCATTAATGTGACCTAATTATCAAGGTGGAGAGCTAATTACACGCCTTTACAGCGTTCGGAATAACCCAGAGGAAGGTAGGTACACACGCTAAAAGTTGAGCGGCAATGACGGACGTGTGTTTATTGACAGGACAGATCAACAGGGAACTGATCATTTGTTACAGCTTTATTTGGACCTTAACTGCGGTGTTCAAAGTAAACCCCATCACTCGTTTAGATATGCTTTCGGTAAAAATGCAATCACCATTTTTATCGAAGTAGACCTAAACCCTTAAAAAGTGTAACAATACCCGGAACACCCCAGTTTAGGTCCAACTATAGCTTTAACAAATTATCAGGTTCCTGAGGACAGACCTTCGAAAATCGGTGATAAAATAGTGACATTTTCAAATTAAGTATTGTCACTTACATGTATGTTTACATTTCGTTTGTATTCTTCAGTAGCACCATAGTCTTGTATTAATATTGACGTTTTGTTTTAAAGGACTACTATAAATGTCTCTCCTGTATGTAATTACTTATATCATTATCCGATCAATTAATTAAGATCATCTTATCAAACAGATATTCCGTGCATGTTAATTAAAGTAAATATAATTCTTTACGTCTATACATGTAGTACATTCAAGTAAATCCCATATATGCCCATAGAATTGTAAACGAGATAATGTCAATTATTTTCAAAGATAATTTACAGACTTGGTATCCCCAAACCGCGGTTTCATATTGCCGAGCAGATATTCGGTCTCGTGTTCTGGTTGTATTCATTTCTAAATGGTGGATACAAATGTAGTACTCCGAGAGACGCATTTTTTATTGTGTATTGTGTTGTTCTGACCAAGCTGTGTTCTCTAAAAACTTCGTTTCTGGTCCGCTGATATTTAGACCATAGGAAGCCTGAACAATTAATTCACTGTAAGGATTATGACCGTATCAATCAATTATTCACTTGCATATAAACGGGGACCTTTCAGTAGAGATCGCTTGTTGAGAGTATCTGTCTAGGTAAATAAAGCTTAATTTATTAATTAAAGCGGCTTCGTCTGTCGGAAATTCCACATCTAAAGTTAAGAAACAATATTTCTTTAAGTTCGTTCCAGGATGTGTGTTTCTGATGTTCAGAAAAAATAATCTACGAAATCCATATCAGCTAGAATGTGTCTTTCTGATGAAATTTCATATCCAAAAAGGAATGTTATTTAAATTTACAGGGTCCTGAGCATTAGTTACAGGTGGGTCTTTGGACCCCCCCCCCCCCCCCCCNTACATATACTTCTTACACAGCACGAGTTCCAAACATGCATGCTGGAACCTACTTCTAAGGTGTCTGTGCTTAAAATAATGTCTACAAATCTAAGCCAGAATGTGTTCTGTCAGATAATTTACCATTACCGTACTCTATAATTCTCACTCTAATAATGACACCATTGTAAACCAGTCCGCTTTAAGATGAAGATCGATTTTATTGAATGGTAAAGTCGAGACAACTTCACACAAACAGCGATCTCTCTTACCGGAATTTTATGTACGAGGTATGTTGTCAATATCCGCTTCAGTCCATATAACTGCTTGCAATAGACTGGCCCTATCTGGTTGTATATTTTGTGTGTTTACAAACGAAAGTTCAAACGGTTTTCGAGTGTACGAATAAGATATATATTATTATGCAGTGAAGCGATCGCTCAAGATGGAGTTTTATGATATAAATCGTATGTGATCGCAGAGCTTTGTTTAACTTCCCTGAAATATGATGTAATAAATACCCACACACTCTTCCCAACCTCCCAGTTTGACCTGAAGGGGAGGAGGAACATATTTTGTTATAACAATACTTTTTGTTTCTTCGTTTGAACATTTGCTATGACGTATTTAATATATGGGGCACCTGTACATTAGTTTATAGCTCAGAGAAAGCTCGATAGTACAGCGATCACAGGGTCGCAACGATCATCATTAGATCGTACCCAAACACAGAGTCTTGTTAAAAATCCTGTTACAAGTTAAAACGCGGTTTTAATTTGTGTCCGTTTAAGTCTGTATACCCAGGGTACTTCTTAACAACAGGTAATACATGTATTCCTCTCCCTTCCCATTCAAGAAATATCCGTTACTTGTTTCCAAGAAATTTCTGCGTCGTTGTACTTGCACATTCACATAGTTCACTAACAGGAACGCTGATCGTTCACCTGCTTACCTCTTAGTATGCCTGTAACCATTTTGATTACTTGGTAGGACATATGGCACGTTTCTTGGGTTTTGAATTGATTATCTTTGACGGCCGGTTATATTCCGCCTGATTACTTACAGGTATGCTTGTACACAATTTGGTGGCTAGGTAGACTGTCTGGTACTGGACATGGAACCACAAATTTATAGTTGCCACGTGTTGTTTTAAAGAAGAGAGTGCCGCCACTTTTCTACTGTATACAACTAGCGTCGAACGTTATTTTGGATTAATTCTCTGTTGTATTGAAGAAAATTATCAACAAATGTCATGACTGGTACCAACGTGTTTTTTTTTAAACCAATGGGCCCGGGTATCGAACGCCATCGGCGGAGATGTGTTTGTTTCACAGGGAATGATCACGAATTTTCTTCGTCTTCTATAAAACTCGTTGTTATAGTAAATTGGCAAGCAACTTCAAATATTAAATATGCTAAATACATTGGAACTCTTGTTCGTTGGAGATCTACCATAAGCCATTAATCATCACGTTGCATAGTTTGCCAATCTGCTAAAGTCGAGGGATCTTTGATAAGCGCAACGCTTCATGTTTTAGGTAACATCTTTATTGTCGGTCTTGTAGATATGTGAACTTATTTGCAACGGACGTAACGCTACCTAAATTTAACAAAATCACAACTCAATCATTCACGGTGGCCGCGTCATTTAGATCTGGTTAATATAGATTGAGGGTCAAATCCGGCTCACCGCCACGCTTGCATGACTCTTATGTCATAACATCATAATCATTTGGCAAGCCCAGATGTCTTGAGATTTTGACGGATTAGTTTTATAATCAACAAGGTCATTGAGTAAAGTATGTTAGTAACTTAAAGGCATTTAGGACAATCGAGCAAGAATATGAAGAATCAGCCGACGAGGGATTAATTATGTCAGAAAATAAGTACTTCCGTTTTAAATAATTTATTTCAATCACAGGGGATGTCTTTAAAAATGGAAAAAGAATTGCTATGTATGATGTGCTTATTTCTTAAGGTCATGTTCCGCCTGGAGTTATCTCCCTTAAAAAGTGATAGAAAAATGCGTTTGTTCGTTTACACTTCTCAAGTTGATTGAATATGGAACTCTTTTGGAAATAAAATATTTGTTACAGTAAGATGCGTGTGTCCTTAACAGTTTTTAGCATTTCCAGTTTGGTCCCTATTTGAAAGGAAATTTACTCTTGAGTTTTCATGTGCAATTTCCGGTTTTAGTCCATGTCCCTAAACAGTTTCCAGGATTTCATTGGTTATCAGCGGAATCCCTATTTCTAGTGACTTTCACACGGAAGAGTTACGTACATTTTATTCCAAATGTTGAAAATGTCGGCATTCAAGATCCATGAGTCCGCGAGTGCATGCTGTCGGTGGAGTAAGCGCCCGTAGAGTTATTACGAATTGATCACTACCCTCCGGACACAAGCCCTCCTACAGGGATCTGTTCTAGGTCATTTGCTTTTCTTCATACATTTTGTATGTGTTTAAACGAATTTGAACAAATTTAATACTTACATGGAGATGTTAGAAAAGGTAAAAAGAGAAATTGCGGACAAGTAAGCGTCTTCTGCTTCTTGGTCAACGAACCACAAGTAATTATAGCTCATGATCACGACTTAACATTCAGTACACGTACTTATAAATAGCTATAGACTAATTCCCACTGAGATCACGATGACGGACAACAAATCTCGCTGATGGTATTCATCCACATGAATCTTTCGAAACCCTGAATTGTAAGTTGGTTAGTCAGTGACGTTATATTCAGTTGTACTTGAAGTGAACTTATATAGACATTTGAAGGATTTGCATCATGCATGGATTTGAACATTTCCCGACATAATCTAAAAGATCGTTGTAACAAATACGTAACTCTGAAATGAATATTTGTTGGTTTGTTTTGTAAGTATTTGAAATTGAGTAAAAAGGCTTTCATTTGAAGTTCTTATCATATGATTTCAGTATCCGGAGGAGCCAATTACAGAATAACAGCCAACGATGGGCTATGACGTCGACAGGTTTGTTGTTCAAGTCAATGACGGTCTGCTTTGCTGCATTTGTCGCGATGTGTTAGAAGATCCAGTCCAGGCTCCGTGTGAACATGCGTTCTGTCGCACCTGTATAGAAGGATGGCTTGTCGAAAACACGCGCTGCCCAGAAGACAGGAAACCGTTGTCGCTGTCGGCGCTCAAATCTCTATTCCGTTACATGAGGAACGACCTGAACAAGCTGCAACTGAAATGTTGCAATCATTTCCTGGGCTGTACGCATGTTGGCGATTTAGAATTCATGCATACGCACGAATCTGATTGTCCACTCGGAACGGTAGCCTGTCCAAATGACAAATGTAACCTGATGGTCACGCGGAAGGATTTAATTGATCATTTGGAAACTTGTGAGTTCCGGTCAAAAGAGTGTCCTACTGGGTGTGGTATGTTGATTGTCTCGCCGGAACACGATGATCACAATTGCATCGCTGAACTCCGAACCGCTTACGACGTTCTTCGGTCGGAAATGACGTGTAAGATTCAGGAACAGCGACACGAGATGGAACTTCGTCTAAACATGCAGCGTGAACACATGGTTCAGAAAGAGTCCACAATACAGTGCCAAGTTGATGAACTTAAGTCGGAACTGTCCCGGATGACACAGAAGATGAAACTCCTGATGGATTTGGAGATTCAGAGAAGGCAGGACACCGAGAAACTAGAATTGGAGAAAAAAGAACTTATGGAGCTGCTTAAGGGTCAGGCCCTAGATGGCGGGGCAAGCAGGGGTCAACAGGCTGGGTCCAGTCGCACGCACTTCCCGCCATCTCTCAAGGGCAAGGTCACGACAATATGACTGCCGGTAAGCTGAAAAGGAATTCTAATTTACAATTTCATTTCCTTGTGATGAAGTTTGCATTTATCTTTCAAAATACGTTGACTTTGCAATCACTAAAGATAAGTTACATTATAATATTAGTTTGTCGGTCATATGTAGTCAGTCATTAATAAACGAAATTCCTCACATCAACGATTCATATTTGGTATTTAATTACTTCATTTTTTCCTTCAAATTTCATGGAATTCAGAGGAAGCAGACAAGGTTCTCTTTTTGTACCTTGCAGATTAGCACCGCTGCAGAAGCACACATGACATTTTTATTTCCTTATTAACAACATAATTATTCTTAATGAATATATTTTTTCTCACCATTTAGCGAAAAGTTTCTCATAATTTTTTTCTCTTTTCAGATAAGAAAATAATTGCTGCAATCCGGCGTCGTAGGTAAAGAAAAATACAAAGAAAGGAAATGAGTACTAGTGTGTAGGGCCATGACTAACTGACAAGGGTAGACTGGCCCTCATCTCTACAATATCAAATTATTTGATCTCTTGGATGAAATACAAGGGGAGTATTTATCTATTAGAAAAAACTTAGTAGCCAGATGCAAGACACTGTAGTACACTGAGCTAAGGGACATAACTCTTCCGTCCAGTACAGATCTTTGTTTGTCAATTTAAATTTAAAAGACGTATGCCTTAGTGAATTATTGATGGGTGCATTTGCTATGTATCTTTTTTTAATTGACTTTTTCTGCATAATGCCAAGGTTTTTAGTTTTGAATGTCGATCATTTGTTTCCCCTGTGATGTATCTAAATTCAAGATATATATTCAACTCCTCACCTATATATTGAGTTATGTTGAAAAACATGTATTTCATTATAAGTCATATAACAATATGTATATATTGTTTCATACACCAAGTAATTAATATCAGATATAAAGGCACAGCTTTTGTAAATTTTCCATTTTCTGTTTACTATATAATTATATATTTGTTAATGTATATTTTGTTATATCTATGTCATGTTATGCTATAAATACAAGTATGAATACTGTAATGCTTGAAATAAATTACAAAGTGTTTTTTTCTTAATTTCATTGACTACTTTAACAATATTGTATCAGAAATGAGACCATTGCCCAACCTTTCCAACTTATATGCTACATGCACTTTGTTTAAAATGACCCGGATTTGATAAATATTGTTTGAAATGACTTCTATTTGATAAGAATTGCTTTAAACGTCTTCTATTTGATCAAAATTGTATCTCTTATTACTTTATTATTGGGTTGCGCAGTGAACTTCCTAATAAAACTTCCTTCAGAACTACAGAAGGAATATTAGTCTGTTAATCTGTCCTTCCTTGTATGACATTGCCCCAGGCATGTGTCATATACTCCTTACATATAATTGCAGATATTTTTTTTTATCCAAGTACCTCATAGGAGTGTCCCATACTTAAGTTGGGTATGTGCCCCAATATACACAGGGTTATGGTCCTTTCATCACCATTGCCGTTCTCTAATATACTGAAGTTGTTTAAAATTGCCTTATTTTGTATTGATATTCCTTCCAGGATGACGGATTGTTAAATTCAGAGATTGGGTTGATATACAGAGTTATGGCCCTTTTCTCCCTCTTGGAACTCGCTGATATACTGAAGTCACCTAAAATTGCCTTATTTTGTATTACATTTGTAATATACCTCCCGGTATGACAGAATGTTTTAAAAATACTGAGATTGGGTGGACATACAGAGTTATGGCCCTTCGTTCATTTTCCAAATAAAAGTTAGGCAATAATATTTTTCCCCCTTCATCTAAATTATATAATGTGTTTATTTATTTCAATATTTTAGTGACATGATCAATTTGGCAATCATCATCTTCCCATTTGTTCCCAGAGTTGAGCTTTGAGAAAAAACCCTTGAAGTGATATTTCAGAGGCAAAAGGCTCATAGGGCCTATAATCACTTAAGAATTGTGAGTCAAGGCTGTATATTACAGATGAAATGCTGTTACCATAAGCTTCCGGATTAATTTATGTTATTTGAAGACAATTGACTTCTTTAACCTCAATAATGATGTTATTTAACTGAACAAATTGGTTAGCCCTTCACCTAAATATGCTTCAGACCAAATATGACTTACAGACACTTGATTTGAGAGAAGTTTTTGACCTATGACCTTTAATGTAAGTCAAAGGGTAATTTATATAAACAAATTGTATAGTGATCTATCCCAGTAGGTTACCAAACAAGTATCATGACTCCCATTGTTCATTGAAAGGCATTTGAAGATTTAAATATATTTAACCTGCAACCTTGTGTGTGGGTTAAGTTAATTCACCAAGCATTTAGCCTAAGCACCTTAGCATAATGATATGCTGTTTGTTATAATTCATTTGGGGATTTGAACTGATCGAAATGTTGGCCAAGGCCAATTCTTTTAAAAAATGAAGATAGTCTTTCACCTCATGAAGCCAATGGACACATATGACTCTAGCCTTCATGATTGTTTAAAACAAGCCATGAAAATAATTTCACTTATTTGACCTATGTGCCTATCTATAGTTCAAGGTCATTTCTTTCAACATATTTGACCGTTCTTCACCCCAGCTGTAAGCTAAATATAATGTACCAAAACCATGTTGTTCGTAAGATAAAGTTGTTAAAATTTTAAAGACAATGTAATGACAGAGGAATAGATAACACACTACACCATGGTCCTACCAAAAAGATGAGCTTAAACAACTGACATGTGTTTTCTTCTTCAGATATTTTATTTTTTTAGGTTGATTGTATTCCACAAAACATGACAAAGCACAATCAAGTAAAACTGTGAATATCAATAATGTTCATGTCGTGGACATAAAAAAGTCAATTTTGTCTGTTTGACAAGCACTCTTCTGATAATTACCAATACGTATCATAGTTTTCAAAATCGTGAATTGAACACAATTTTGTTAACTTGAATCTATTGTCAAAATCTTCTTTCAATTAAAAGTCCCTCAATAAAATTCGAAAATGTATTTACTGGTATCACCATGAATGTAAAAATGCATGTGCAATGTACATACTAATAATAAGTGATTACCATGCAACAAGACAAATGTCAGTATGGAGATGTCTGTGTAAATTGCACATTTATCCTAAGGAACAATAGTGAATTATCTCCCATTGCTAAACTCTTCCATTCTGTACATGATTGAAGTGGAATTAATGTTATCTTTTTTTTTTTTTTAATAGTTGCAATTATTAAGTTGTTTGGAAGAAATTAACGTTTTTGTTTATTTTTATTTCATTCTTTTTGCCATCATCAGGTGATAAATCATAAATCACATATCTATCAAATACTTAATAACTCGTATTAAAAGACAATGTATCTTTAACTGTCCAGTTGAAGAACTGAAATCTTTGCAAAATCTTTGTAAGAAGTACAAATTCAAAAGTCAGTTCTCCAAATTTCCATATACTTGGTGCACAGTACATTCTTGGACAGTGAACCCTTGTCCGTATAAAATCTGATGATCTGGAAAAATTACTTCCCATACCATTACTATTGAAATATCAATATTCACTGTTATTTACAGACACACACTTTTGATTCTATTTTCATTTACATCGCTGCAAGTAAGATAATCTTTGTTTCCAATGAATTTCCTTTTGGGGAACCTAAACAAGTCTGACTTGAAAAGTTTAGCTGATTTTGGCAATGTCTATTTGGTGAAGGACCGCTGATGATGTCCCGCATACTCCCGTCGTCCTCCTCGGAAGATCTGGCCACCAAATCTACAACACAGGAAGAGAATCTGTCTTTGTACATATTTAACAATGTAGTATAACAACAAAGAGAAATGTGATGAAAACAACGTAAATTTACTTTATTTTTGCCAAAATACCCCTGGTTCTGCGGAACGACCGGTTTGTCCGTTTTTAAATGTAACAATTTCGGGTATTAATCCTGGCGGACCTGCAAATGTTTATGCAGGCCTTGCAAGGCTTTGTCAAGGCTCGCCTGAAAGCAGCATCAGATTACTAGGTCAGACATTATTTAATAAAGAACAACTGTGGTCTGACCGGTTGAACTGTTTAAACGAAAATGGCCAAAATGTATTTGCTTAACATGTGGGTCATAAATTCTAAGTTTACCACTTTGTGCCCCGTCCCATTGCTTTTGGCAAATTAATTCATCTATAACTCACCAAAGGTTTTTAAGGCCATACCCTTGATATTGAAGAACCTAATACATATGACTATGACTTTGTTCCTGTAAGAAGCCTCTGATCTCATCACAAATATTGACGCCCAATGTTAGACATTGTAAGGGTAACATCAACTTGTGACCATTTACAATAATATTCTGATGTTTAAGTTAGTGTAAGTGAACTCTGTGTGAATGCCCTGACCTTTGATCTTGTATATTGCTCCTGACCTCTGACCCTGATGACCTTACCTGCCACCGCTGCCAGCATCCTGGTCCTTGTTCCAGTAGCCCCCACGACCTTGAGGGGAGAAGCGGAAGTCCTTGCCACCTCTTCTCTCCCCTTGCCCCACTCTGCCTCCACCTCCACCTCCACCTCCACCGTCACTACACAGAAACAAACATCGGATTCATCAGTTTATTTTCTTGAAAGGAAGTATACAGATGCTCAATCTGTAGCTATTTATCACTCTGTAGCTATTCATAACACTTGCGATTTTTAACTCAGTAGCTATTTATAATACTGTTGCTATTGTAGCTATTCATAATACTAGCTATTTGTAACACTTTTGTTATTTAAACAGTTCGGAGGTAGGTGTGTTGTTCAGTGGGGTGCTGCGCTTGAGCATGGATACCCAAGGTATGCAGGGCAATTAATGAAATAAGTGAATATTAACAGATATAACCAATCACAACATGCTCAAGCGTCACCAGTAAGGTCGATACTTATCTTTATTAGCCAATAAACATAATTATCCAACTTACTGGTGACTAGCTATTTGTAACCTTGTACGTGTATCACAAAACCCTTTGAGTGCTAGTCACAACTATAGTTGCGCTGTATGTCTGGGGCCACCACTGCTAGTCACAACTATAGTTGCGCTTTATGTCTGTGGCCGCCACTGCTAGTCACAACTATAGTTGCGCTGTATGTCTGTGGCCACCACTGCTAGTCACAATTATAGTTGCGCTGTATGTCTGTGGCCGCCACTGCTAGTCACAACTATAGTTGTGCTGTATGTCTGGGGCCACCACTGCTAGTCACAACTATAGTTGCACATTATATAAAATGGTATTTTATATGGTCAACAGCTAATCGTGTTGATTAAAATTTAATCAAACATATCAAATAACCAATTTCCATTAGTATTAATATTTTTTAATATTAACAAAAGAATTGTTTTTGCAATATTATTACTAAAATTGTGACTTATGAAGTTATATCTAAATTTGAACTGCAGTGAAAATTAAATTTTCCTAATTAATTCAGCACTGATTGGTTACCGTATGTTATTTTAATGTAGCACTCTAAGGGTTAAAATAGTTCACAATAACAGAATATGGCAACTGTAGGTGTAGGAGGTGAGTCCCAGACAAAGCAATGTTCTGTGAATGTAGTGTTATTACTCTTACAAAGGAGAGAGGCAACTCCTGAATCCAGGTTTCCAAAACTGTAATCATGATACTTGTGCTGACTACTTTCACCCTCCTATGCAGGCAGTCATCAGAGCACCACTATTTGATGACCGCTGTATGGTGATCACAGAGGAGAAACAATGAGAATTCTAGGAGTCTTGAAGAACTGTATTTATAATGCAGGGGTAAAGAACAAACGCCCAGTGAGTGTCAAGGTATGTTAACCTAGCGGTGTACAGAAGCCCTCTAACGGTAAAGAACAAACGCCCAGTGAGTGTCCAGGTATGTTAACCTAGCGGTGTACAGAAGCACTCTAACGGTAAAGAACAAACGCCCAGTGAGTGTCCAGGTATGTTTACCTAGCGGTGTACAGAAGCCCTCTAACGGTAAAGAACAAACGCCCAGTGAGTGTCCAGGTATGTTAACCTAGCGGTGTACAGAAGCCCTCTAATGGTAAAGAACAAACGCCCAGTGAGTGTCCAGGTATGTTTACCTAGCGGTGTACAGAAGCCCTCTAATGGTAAAGAACAAACGCCCAGTGAGTGTCCAGGTATGTTTACCTAGCGGTGTACAGAAGCCCTCTAATGGTAAAGAACAAACGCCCAGTGAGTGTCCAGGTATGTTTACCTAGCGGTGTACAGAAGCCCTCTAATGGTAAAGAACAAACGCCCAGTGAGTGTCCAGGTATGTTTACCTAGCGGTGTACAGAAGCCCTCTAATGGTAAAGAACAAACGCCCAGTGAGTGTCCAGGTATGTTTACCTAGCGGTGTACAGAAGCCCTCTAATGGTAAAGAACAAACGCCCAGTGAGTGTCCAGGTATGTTTACCTAGCGGTGTACAGAAGCCCTCTAATGGTAAAGAACAAACGCCCAGTGAGTGTCCAGGTATGTTTACCTAGCGGTGTACAGAAGCCCTCTAATGGTAAAGAACAAACGCCCAGTGAGTGTCCAGGTATGTTTACCTAGCGGTGTACAGAAGCCCTCTAATGGTAAAGAACAAACGCCCAGTGAGTGTCCAGGTATGTTTACCTAGCGGTGTACAGAAGCCCTCTAATGGTAAAGAACAAACGCCCAGTGAGTGTCCAGGTATGTTTACCTAGCGGTGTACAGAAGCCCTCTAATGGTAAAGAACAAACGCCCAGTGAGTGTCCAGGTATGTTTACCTAGCGGTGTACAGAAGCCCTCTAATGGTAAAGAACAAACGCCCAGTGAGTGTCCAGGTATGTTTACCTAGCGGTGTACAGAAGCCCTCTAATGGTAAAGAACAAACGCCCAGTGAGTGTCCAGGTATGTTTACCTAGCGGTGTACAGAAGCCCTCTAATGGTAAAGAACAAACGCCCAGTGAGTGTCCAGGTATGTTTACCTAGCGGTGTACAGAAGCCCTCTAATGGTAAAGAACAAACGCCCAGTGAGTGTCCAGGTATGTTTACCTAGCGGTGTACAGAAGCCCTCTAATGGTAAAGAACAAACGCCCAGTGAGTGTCCAGGTATGTTTACCTAGCGGTGTACAGAAGCCCTCTAATGGTAAAGAACAAACGCCCAGTGAGTGTCCAGGTATGTTTACCTAGCGGTGTACAGAAGCCCTCTAATGGTAAAGAACAAACGCCCAGTGAGTGTCCAGGTATGTTTACCTAGCGGTGTACAGAAGCCCTCTAATGGTAAAGAACAAACGCCCAGTGAGTGTCCAGGTATGTTTACCTAGCGGTGTACAGAAGCCCTCTAATGGTAAAGAACAAACGCCCAGTGAGTGTCCAGGTATGTTTACCTAGCGGTGTACAGAAGCCCTCTAATGGTAAAGAACAAACGCCCAGTGAGTGTCCAGGTATGTTTACCTAGCGGTGTACAGAAGCCCTCTAATGGTAAAGAACAAACGCCCAGTGAGTGTCCAGGTATGTTTACCTAGCGGTGTACAGAAGCCCTCTAATGGTAAAGAACAAACGCCCAGTGAGTGTCCAGGTATGTTAACCTAGCGGTGTACAGAAGCCCTCTAATGGTAAAGAACAAACGCCCAGTGAGTGTCCAGGTATGTTTACCTAGCGGTGTACAGAAGCACTCTAATGGTAAAGAACAAACGCCCAGTGAGTGTCCAGGTATGTTAACCTAGCGGTGTACAGAAGCCCTCTAATGGTAAAGAACAAACGCCCAGTGAGTGTCCAGGTATTTTTACCTAGCGGTGTACAGAAGCACTCTAATGGTAAAGAACAAACGCCCAGTGAGTGTCTAGGTATGTTTACCTAGCCGTGTACAGAAGCCCTCTAATGGTAAAGCAAATACACAATAGTGATAAGTAAAAGTAAGGTAAAAATACCTTTATCACACAATGTACTGTGTTATCCAATGAACATACCTGTCATGTTTGTTTTGCGTATTAACCCATGTAATATGACCTATCAGCCGTGTGATTGGTTGTAAGTTTCAATAGTTTCAATTGTGACGTCACGCCTAGGACAAGTACATGATGTCTCAGACTGACACACTGGAGTCAAAATGGCAGCTTTTTACATTTCAAGGTTACATGAAAACGTTTGTTTTACACAAATGTATGCCACAAATCTTGATTATGTGATAAAAAGGATCTTAACACTCGTTTTTATTTCATTTGCAATTCATGAAACCAGAGGCTGGCTAAATTGAAAAATTCTTAAGACTCCTTTCATAAATCTCACATAAAATGGAAACTCATGTGAGAACCTATATATATATCCAAAGTTAAAATTGTAATCTCTGATGAGGTACTCGCACACAAAGTTTGGCAATTGTAGGTGACAGAGTATACAGGATAAGACTCTGAGGAAGTGATAAAGCAGAGCAGGGAAAAAGAAAACAATAATACTTTTCTCTCTCAAAAGATCGAGGACTGTTGAAGCTGGACTTCTGTCTGTTATTGTAGAAACTGCCTCGTCCTCCTCCCCCTCTATTGCTGTCACCTGAAAATGAAGAAAACAAGAATGAATTTAAATACTCCTTCATTATCAATCCTGTTCTAACAGTTCTAACAAAAGACTACATCAATGTGTAATGTGAATAGCCAGATTTCATCTCATCAAATTTTCACCCACTGTTCACCCCATGCACTGGGACGAAAAATATTGTTTTACACATCTTAAGGGGATTAGGATAAAAGAACTTTTCATGTCAATGAAAATAGAAAAAGGTTCATACAGATTTCAAAACAAAATTCAAATACTATATCTTGCAATTTTCCAAGAAAATATAGATCAAAGTTATTTTGTTTTCAATGTACATGATACCACAAAAAAAGAAAGGCATCACAATCTATTTTAGATAATCGTATGTGATAGATTTATATCACCCTAACTTCGTACAGTCCTTTATAGGTAATAGCAGAAGTCAGTTTGTCTCCAGTAGATATATCTTACTGTAGTTAGTGTCCGTTGTTCTGTCATTGTTACGATTGTAGTTTGAGGGTGGTGTGAAGAAGCGCCCGCCTCTGTATCCCCTTCCTCCACCACCACGATCAAATCCTCCACGGTCAAATCCCCGGCCTCCTCGACCACCTCCTCGATTCATCTCCTGTAGAACAGAAACATGACAGGGAGATTTCTAATCTTTCTTTCTTTTGAAGAGCAACACATGTTGATTGAACGTCTAACTTTTTTAAGTTCACAAGATATGACTTCTGTTTCAAATATACACATATATAAAATGAAATGAACATTAAATATGAAATCATTTAAGATCTTTTATATAGCATACAATCCCTGATACAAGCGTTTTCAAAATAATTATCTGTAGGATATGAAAGCCCTTTACTTCTAAATTCAGAAGTCAGTAAAATGATGCCAACAGCAATGATTGAGCTATAAATGGTCAGTGACCTTGGAATTGACCTTGGGACCCTGAAATACAAACATGTCCTTGGTATTCTCGTCCTTGACTTTTGTAAACCTGATGAAAATCATGATGATAATGAATCATGATCAGATTGGATGGACATGGGTAACACCCATTATTTGTGTTTTTTGGGTGGTGGTATAAAACCAGTTCCTGAAATTTAGATAGTCAAAGAAAGTACAAGAAAATTTCTGTCTGAAATTATCGGTTCTAGAATAAGACATCCTGTGACGTACCTTTCCCATCATTCTTCGCTCCGGTATCGGAGTGAGTGACTGTGCTGGAGGTTGTTGACCCTGGGAACCCTTCTCCAACTTCATGAAATCGTCCACATGCATTGACGGAGGTCGGCTCGTGTTTGGAGGCCGAGAGCGGAACGAATCCACACGTCCACTGTTGTTCATCATGCCTCTTGCAATACCTCGTCCTCGCATCGGAGCAACTGTAGCAAGATATAAAATAAATGTTATTCACACTGAGGTAGTAAATTGGGTTCTGTAATTATAATTTCAACAAAAACTTCTTTACCATTTTTAATCTAGCTTTGTAAAGTTTCTGACTTCCAAGTTTATCTTGACACACAATATCTTTCATTTACCAATTTCCCACGATTTCAGGCTTTGCACTTCAATTATACTCACCTCATTTTAAAAGTACAAACCCCATATTGATTGTGGTTCCAACAAAAGTGAGAGCATGGCTTACAGAAGTAACTTCCATTAATACAACAATTCTTTTGAGCAAATTGACTTGAGATTTACTCACCAAATGGTCGTCTGAAACCTCTGCCTCTATTAATACTGATCTCTTGTGACTTTCTCCTATCACTGAAGGAAAAAACAAAACATTTCTTATAAAAATTACCACATTTCTTTCCAAATTTCCTTCATATCTTTTACTTGAAGATGTAAACGGATTTAATACAGGGAACATTTAGGAAACTGACCTCAACAAAAGGCTGTAATTATGTATTATTTGTAATATTATCTTGTCTAGCTATAGTCTCTTGGTGACCCTATATAACCTTGCCTCTTGAACCAGTCAACTCCTTAATTACCTTTACTTAACTAACCTGACCTTTCACCTTTGAACTTACCCCTGTTTGAGCCTGCGGGGTCGAGTGAGTTCCTCAGTCGAGGACATGGTCGTCTTCTTGAGTTCCTCCTCGAGATTAAACTCTGGACAGTGTTTTACACACATGCTTTCCATGTCAAAGCGTATCATATCTGGCTCAATATCTGCCTCGTCTAATACAGGATTTGCCAGCCAGTAGGCAGGGCTTAGACGCTCATCCTCGCCATCAGTGACCACAAACACAGCCCGCATGTTAAACATAGCATTGAGTGGCTCTGTAGGGGGGAGAATGGGCTCCACTACAGCTGCAGAGGAAAACATCCTTTACACATCCCATTACATAGAAATCCTTGTCATTAATTTGGAAATAGGCACAGAAATCAATTTCAAAGGCATATGTTGATTGCATTAGTTTAGTTATTTCTCCACAACCAATATAGGTTTTCTCATTTCCGACACATTCTATAAACCTGCTAGGAGTTGGTAAAACTTTTTGGTAATGTCATAATTCATGGCAATTGTTTCCCTGATAGGAAACAGGAATCTTGCATTTGCTCCCTTCCATTAACTGCAATGGTATAAACTCCTGTGTTTTGAACATGTGTTTATAGACACCATTAAGTGATAATTTTCTGTTTGGAAAGCATCAGGTCAATGTTAATTACATCAACAAGCTTATATGTGAATAATTTTCAATATATAAAAAAAAGTTATTCTGAATTTGGTAAAAGACTGCATGCAATGAAAATCTCCCTACAGAACCTGATTCTCCCTACAGGAACCCGATTCTCCCTAGCTACCAGTGGTCAAGATATCTTTACTTTGTTTTGAAGTCATAACAAGTAGGATACACTGACAAACATTAGTAAGAATCTTTTTGTTCAAATTTCCCCCAAAAATTGCATTTGAGGCTTTTCTACCAGTGTGACCTATCAAATGCAAGAGGAGACAAAACAAATTACCAATTATAATTGGCCAAGAGTTATCATATAACGGGTCAGATAGTCACATTACCTGGCTTGTCCTGGGCATCTGTACTGGGTTCTCTCAGCATCTTCATCAGACTGACCATATTGTCCAGTAAACTCTCCAGACTCTCCTCCTCCTTAGCACTGTCCTGTTGCCATGGAAATAATCAGTAAACAAAAATAATGTACCTTTTTTCGATTCATTTTCAATGTAAAATAATCTTGATTTTTTTATGCCATGAATGGACTTTCAAACAATCAGCAGGGTATTTTTCTGATGGTAGAAAACTTGGAAAAAGTCTTAACAATAAGTGTCTCTGCAGCCAAATTTAAAATTTAATTTGAATATTTGGCAATTTTCTATAAATACATAACATGTAGTAATGTTGAATTTTACTTAGCAACCTGAAATACAGACCGTGACCCTAGCCTTGGCATTGATCCCATGAATCATGGTCTCACCAAAAGTATTCTCATACCAAACCTTTCTTTCAAAAATGTTATATTATGAATAAAAATACTTCCTCCAAACTTGTGGTGTTAAACTATAAAATCAAACAAACAGACAGACCTCCAGCAGTTTTTCAAGGTCGAGAAGAGGGTGATTCTCCATGCTAGGGTTCCATGATAGCACAGCCTGTAGCTCCGTTTGAGTCAAGGTGTAGGTTCGTGTCAGTTCTGGTCCGTCCTCCGGAATCTCCACTAGCAGGCGCAGAAACTCTAGTAATGTGGAAAGCGTAGACAGACAGTCGGAACTGTCCTTGCTAAATGTTGTGTTGATACGGACCATCAAGCGACCAAGAGCTGTTGTCTTCTGCTCCAACAGACTGTGGAAAGATGTCAGATTTTTGGTAAAAAAATGTCAATTTTCCTATATAAACCAAAATTTAGAACTTGTTTTAGTAATACTTTTTCACTTGACAACGACAATTTGATTTTTCACTTTTTTGATAAGTTAATCTGATCCAGGTCAAATTATTTCCTATATCATAGCCTCTCTTTCTGTTTTTTTGCTGATTCTTCAATTTTTTGATTTTTTTTTTGCTCTTTTGTAATATGCATAGAACCATTGTTTGTTTTATATTATAAATATTTAGCTAATCTATATCATGTTTGTGAGCTGTACGTACAGGCGGAATCCTATATCTCCTCGAATTTTCGTTGCGAGGGGATAATAAAATAGAACTGTGAAATTTACCATTTTAGCAAATCTATAACAATTAAGGACCTCGAAAAAGCCCCACTTTTACAGTATTTCACATGGAACCATACAAACCTTTTGAGGTGGAAGAAGCCATAGTTATGGTCAGTGAACATGACGAGGGTTCGGACACACGGCAGTATGGAAGCATAGTTGTGGTCGGGGTTGCCCATATGGTCAAGCAGTGAGTTAGTGATCTGGTGCATGTACTCCTTACTGGGTAACGCCTGGGCTATCTGTAATGGACAAAACTGATCATCATTATAAACGTACATGTAATGAAACATGCCTTAAATATGCTTTACAGGGACAGAAAAACATAGACAGTAAGGTCTCGCATAGGTCTACCTCCCACCTGACCACAGTACATGATCAAGTGTGACCTTGTAACCCTGTAACCTTGACCGATGACCACTAAAATCTTATCAAGTGTAAAAGTCAATGTTACCATATTAGGGCATACATTTCAATTGAATTATGAGATTAATTAATTCCAACAAAATTAATGTTACAAACCTGGTCTTGGATGGTGAAGGCGTCTCCCATCACTATTGCAACCTCAACATCACACATACTCTGAATGATTGACTGTGGAACAAACAAAACAGTGACATTATGGCAACCTTCTAGCTGTAGAAGTCCTCATGACCATCAAAATCCTCCAGCCATGGAATTCAAGATACTAGATTAAATATTCACAAAGTTGACAAGGGACCAAAAAACAATTTTTCATTTTTTTTTTATTCTAATCTTCAGTATTCAAACTACACAACAAACCTTGCTTGCCTGTCTAATGAAAAATATCTGAATAATTACTAGCTACAAAACAGTTTGAATACTGTGAATTGTTATATTTATGCCAAGATTTTCTGTCTGTCTTTTAAAAATATATTGATCCTTTATTGGATTCTCCCTGCTAAGTCACAATATCTATCAGATTTGAAAACAATTTCCTGTTGATATCACAATGCTCCGGGTCGACAAGGGCAAGAATAGAACAGGCACAAATGCCCTCTTTTATGTCGTGCTTACTGTTGTTAATATTATTACGGGGGGTACATAGGAGGTTACTTACCACGATACATTCCTGGGCCTGTATGTGGGGGACACGGTCACACACTGTGTTGAGGATCTGTAACAGCTGAGGAAACAGTTCCACATACTTCTCCTCTCCAGCTGGCCTGTAATCACATCAATTTTGAAAACCATACTGTACACTTTTGATTTTTTGATTTGTGAGTGAACTGCTTTTACACTTTTAAGTGTGCTGTGGCATTCCCTGACTTGTTAGTGAGCTGCATCTTATTTTGACTCATAAAGGAGCTGTATTTTATTTTGATTTGTAGGTGAGCTTTTAATCAACCTACCTTGTAAGTTTAACTAATCTCTGACTAGGCAGTCTTCTGCATCTAACTGACTTGTTAGTGAGCTATATCTTACCCTGACTTGTAAGTGAGCTGTATCTTACCCTGACTTGTTAGTGAACTGTATCTTACCCTGACTTGTTATGGAGCTGTATCTTAACCTGACTTGTTAGTGAGCTGTATCTTAAACTGGCTTGTTAGCGAGCTGTATCTTACCCTGACTTGTTAGTGAGCTGTATCTTACCCTGCCTTGTTAGTGAGATGTATCTTACCCTGATTTGTTAGTGAGATGTATCTTACCCTGATTTGTAAGCGAGCTGTATCTTACCCTAACTTGTTATGGAGCTGTATCTTACCCTGACTTGTTAGTGAGCTGTATCTCACCCTGACTTGTTAGTGAGCTGTATCTTACCCTGACGTGTTAGTGAGCTGTATCTTACCCTGACTTGTTAGTGAGCTGTATCTTAACCCTGACTTGTTAGTGAGCCGTATCTTACCCTGACTTGTTAGTGAGCTGTATCTTACCCTGACGTGTTAGTGAGCTGTATCGTACCCCGACTTGTTAGTGAGCTGTATCTTACCCTTACTTGTTAGTTAGCTGTATCTTAACCCTTACTTGTTAGTGAGCCGTATCTTAACCCTGACTTGTTAGGGAGCCGTATCTTACCCTGACTTGTTAGTAAGCTGTATCTTAACCCTGACTTGTTAGGGAGCTGTATCTTACCCTGACCTGTTAGAGAGCTTTATCTTACCCTGACTTGTTAGTGAGCTGTATCACCCTGACTTGTTAGTGAGCTGTATCTTAACCCTGACTTGTTAGTGAGCTGTATCTTACCCTGACTTGTTTGTGAGCTGTATCTTACCCTGACTTGTTAGAGAGCTGTATCTTAACCTGACTTGTTAGTGAGCTGTATCTTACCCTGACTTGTCAGTGAGCTGTATCTTACCCTGACTTGTTAGTGAGCTGTATCTTAATCCTGACTTGTTAGTGAGCTGTATCTTACCCTGACTTGTTAGTGAGCTGTAGCGTGGCACATTTGATGGAGGGTTGTGAGAGGACGTAGGCGAGGAGATTCAACATCTTGCTGGCATATGGTGATGCAATCCTTTCCTCCATCTCTTCCACAGCCTCCCCATCTCCCTTGTCCTCCAACCGAGTCACTTTCATCGTCTGGAAACTCTCAATCACAATGTCTAACACACACCTAAACAAGGGGAGATAATTATGTAGGTAAGTTTGAGCATGTCACCTTTTAACCCTCAAAATTCGAAAAAATGCTAAATTTAGGTACCACTGGAACATTCTATCTAAGAATTGTATCATTATAGTATTTTCCCCAATCTTTTGTAATCCAATACTGGGTATTGTAATTTAGGAAGCTATAGTACCTTTTTTGAAATGGAGAAAAATCAACCTGGATCAGCCATTTGATATTTTTTTATAGTAAATTTTGTGAGCTTATCCATTTACCATGTAATCACCAGGGGAAAGGTTTTATCTAGTGACCATTAGAATCATGAAGGCAACATATTTACCTTGTGATCACAAGGGCAATGTGGGCTGACAAGTCAGACAGCTGCCAGCAGACACGGCGCAGGATGTGTTGTAAAGGTTGACACGTGGAGGTGGACAGTAGCTGGATCACTTCCTGTAGCTGGGGTGTGGCCGCATACAGGTGCATGCTCCACAACTTACGCATGTTAATGGCTCGAGATGACTCCTCCACACTCAGGGGCTGAAACACAAAAACAGGGGTTTCTAGAATAACTGAATGTCACAAAGACACTGTAGCACAAAACCATGCCAGTCTGGTCAGAACCTTTCCAATAATGTTTTGCCAGCTGTCATAAACAGCCTTGTCTTGTAAATTCAGCAACCAATAATCGTAATGTTCCACTATCAAGTCAGTGTTACTGGGTACAGGTTTTATTTATTTCTTTTTTACAAGACTGTCCCTGTTATCCAGTGTTGATCAACACAATCAAGTCACTTTAGCTGGGAGAGAAGGTGGCTAAATTAGTAAGACTCCATTGTACATAGCACATCAAGTACTACTCCAGATCAATCTGTAGCCCTTTTGGTAGAGTTTTCATTACATACACATATACAAAGAAATCTAGTTATCCTAAACATCTCCCCTATACCGGCCCTGACTCAACCTTCCCACCATAACAAAGTCTGCAAAAGATTATGGCAGGATACTGTTCTCACATGTATGATAGATTAGCAAGTTTCCTTATTTTTCTTTTACCTGTTTAAATATGTCAGGGGGAAACCTGAAGCAACAATAAGTATAACAAAATATGATTTGTAAGAAACCATAATCAGGAATGAAGATAGAACTAAGTGAAAATTATACCTCTTTTGTCTGAAGAGGAAGAGGTAAGGGCAGTAACTCTGACAGTATAAGAAGGCCACTGAGGTACGTGTAAGGAGCTTTGACAATATACTTCAGGAGTTCCTTGATCACTTTAGTCCACAGACTTTGGCTCAGAGCTGCAATAAAGAAAGAAAAACTTTTTGTCCATATTCATATCAGTATCAACTACAGCACATACTTACAATTCTTACACACAGATTTGACTACTGTTATTTTATTGGAAATGTTAAACACCATGTTAAATTTATGGATTCAACTAACTGTAAAAAAACAAATAAATTAAAAGTGGTATTAAAATAGCTTTTTATCTTTTTATAAGAAATTACATTTTTAAATCAACAAAATTTAAACTGATTAGTATGAATGAAGTAAACAATCGGTCAATGAATTAATTTTCATTGATTGGCTCTTCCACCTGTAACCCTTATATTAACCCTGATATTAACCCTTATATTAACCCTTATATTAACTCTTTTGTGTGTTTATCGCCTTTTAAGGAAGAACCCCCCCTATTAATGACTTAAACACACAATCTTAATGACATCATATATGACACTCTTGGTACCGGATATCAGGTTTTGCTAATGTCATAATGCCATAAGGCATCAGCAATACAGAGAAAGTTTAACAGAGGACCTGTTCAATAACAACCTGCAAAGTTTATCATATCAAATGACCTTGTAACCTATGAAGTTTAAACCATGAACTTGTGACTCTGGGTGGACGATATTCAAGTGTGATCTTTGACCTTAAGCCCATGACCTATCTTATTAGAATCAGCCTGTTGTTTTTCTTGTTGTGTGTAAGCCATCAAACTCTCAATCACCCTATCCCTGACCTATTGATGTATAACCTTTAACCTTATATTTAAGACCTTGACTGACCTTCTTCATTATCAGCTTGCTGTATTTCTGGTTGTGTGTAGGCCATCAGGGTGTCAATCACTTCTTTTTGAATCTATTCAAACATAAACACAACATTTAAAAGGAACTGTGTATCAGCAAAGATATTCTTTCCTCTTTATTTTTCAACTGAACATATACATAATGTGATATTTTCAAAGTTTGGAACAAGTCAGTTTTAAGGTTAACCATCCATTAAAGACATCCTTTTATTTAAGAAACTGTCGACTCTTTCAAGGAAGCAAGGTTTTACAAGAACTACTTTAACTAAGGACTACACAACCATAAACACCATTAATAAACTTTTTATTGACTTTTTAGAAGTCTAACACACAAGTTGATAAAGGCAAACTAGTATATGGAGTTCAAATTATATCGTCTAATTACTAATGGGTAATAAAATAAATGCTGTTGTGACTTACGATGTGCACCTCCTCCAGGAACATGGATGACAGCGGTACAGAACATAATACTGTATGGAGCTCAAACAGCACGGGCAGGAAGTTCAGGTCATGGAACTGTAACAATTATAACAACATATTATTACACTGACAAGTGCTGTACCTAAACTCTCGTAACTACTGTAATTATGCTGCTCTCTCAACCTCTGGGTCAGATCAGTTTGTAACTATGTTGTACTTTGACCCAAACATTCAGGTTGGTTTCTAACTTTGCTGCCCTTTGACCCTTTGGGTCAGGTCAGTTTGTAATCATGATGCGCTTTGACCCAAACGTTCAGGTTGGCTTCTAACTTTGTTGCCCTTTGACCCTTTGGGTCAGGTCAGTTTGTAATCATGATGCCCTTTGACCCAAATATTCAGGTTGGCTTCTAACTTTGCTGCCCTTTGACCCTTTGGGTCAGGTCAGTTTGTAATCATGATGCCCTTTGACCCAAACGTTCAGGTCAGTTTGTAAGTTGCTTCTTGCAATCATGCATTGGGATGAAGTGGGTTAACTTTCCCTTAAGCCTACAAAGGACCTGTGAAACACTCACTTCATTCTAATTCTGTCTTAACCATGATATCGCCACTAAAGAAATATTGATATTGATACTGGTAATGAGATAAAATTTGCAAATCTTAATATTTGTGTTGTTACTGTCACTGTATGACATGTATTTCTTTAACTATTTATACCTGTAGAATTAAGTTATGATATGTTCTGAACTAGAAATATATAAAGTGCAACTTAGCGGGATTTTAATTTTGTCGCTTATTATTTTTACCCTGTTTTACAATGTAGATATCGGTAGCTACGGGAATACATGTACTATGCTGTGTGGGATTTTTTAGCCAATCAGAAATAAGATAGGCCGATCTCGGGGCAGAGGAGAAAACTGGCATGTTGTCGAGTGGGAGAAAATGTCGATGTATTGCTGTTTAGGGCTTGTTTTGGCCATGGAAAAGTGAATACAAGTTGTATTTTGTCACAATAACCATGAGTGATTAAGTATATTTGACTGTCAAATCTGTTTATAGTAGCAATTCGCTAATTTTTCTTGTAAGTGAAGTGAGACTTGGGCTGGTTACTGTATTGTGGTAGGCACCTATTATGTGCTTGGCCAATTTATCAGGGTTACCCGTAATAAACTACATAAGTTAACCCTAACGCCGGTGTTGAGTAGTATTTATTGGCCATCGCATTGGAACCGGTTACAGTATTAAGCAAACTTTAAAATGTTGTACAGCATAAGTAATACGTTAAATTGTTTATAAAATGTTAGCAGAAGAAGAGTATAGTTAGTACTATTCAGCTGTCAGCGAGTAATTTGGCAATATTTTGTATTTTTCTATCTGAAGTGTAAATACAAAGGTCACGTAGGTAGCTTTCACTTCAGGTGTCAACCGGAACCCCTATGTAAAATGTTAACAAAAGTGTATCAAGATAGTAAACACATAGTTTTGGTCTGACAGGCTCCGTGGTGAACGAGTGATGGGGTAGACACCAGGATGGGGACATAACCAGGACAGCTGGGCGTGGCTTGAGCCCAGGCAGTACCAGTTCAACGTACATTATAGGGCGAACGACCTGAACTTTATCTGGACATCTGAGTGTACGTCGTCTATAGCTGACCACACAGACCATCCCTCTACGGCTCGAGCAGAACATCAACATGGACGGCGATACACCTGGGGCTCACGCGCCGGTACTCTCTCATTTGTGTGAAGTGGTAAAGGATCCAGTGGCTTCCAAAATTTAACATTATGAACAAAACTTAATATTTGAACTGTGTATTGGAATTGTGAACTAGAACCGTTTATTTGAAAGAACATTCATTGTAATTTCTTGGATCATGTTATTCTTAGAGTGAATTGGAGAGGATGATAGAATAGTTTTGAGTCACTATTATATGCTTGTGGTATGGACAATACTTAATAAGCTATTGAATGGGTTATTTTGATCCTTTATATTGAAATGTAATTCTCTAGTCATACCCTAATTATTGAAATACCTCAGTAGTCACAGCAGTCAGTATGGTGATTTTTTATCTGGCTTTGGGGAGAGATGAAATCTTAGGGGAATTTGGTTTCTGTAGCACTTAATTCTTTGGGTTTTTTTTGTATATAAATTTGTGTTTTGAAAATTTGTATTCGGGTTTGTGTATTCCTTCCACTTGGTACCATTCCTTCGGCTGAACTCTACAGTAAGGAGCAGAGTCTGAATCCAACCCAATAACAGCCACCCCAAAATGAAATACAACAAATAGCGCCATTAATGACAGTAATTTAGATGCAACATATTTATTTATTTTCCTTTTATACAATATTTATAATGTTAACATTGATGTTATTGTTCGGTTATATTCATGACCTTGTTATATATTTCTATCACACAACCATCCAAAATACCTTCTTTACCAATTGATTTTTATTGGTTTTACTCATACTTTCCCCAGACCACACCCTTACGTTTTGCACTAAAGCAGGTGCACACACAGCAGGTAAGCATGAACACCTCTATCATAGGTAGGTAATAAATCTGTGTGATAAGGGATCAGTCCACATCAATAACCTATCGAATACCAGTGCTGTGGTGTTATATCTTCAACCCATGAAAGTTGGTCAAGGCCATTTATTTGACTGGATGATGGACATTGCACCATCACACAAGCTCACAGGCAAGGTGAGCCAACAACATGCACTATTATACTGTCAACAAAAATAAAATATTCAAAATTTCTGTTTTCGTGGCCCTTTTGGTACAATATTTATACCCACTGTCATATATTCTGATTTTTGCTTATATTCAAATGATTCGGTCGTATATAACCTGTAAGTTGATTACATAACTGAGGCACATAGACAATTACACAATAACACTCATTATGAGAAGGTTAAATCAGATCTTAACACACAAATTTCGAAGAAAATAATAGGCTTTCTGAAGTTCTTATCAGACAGAGAACTGTTAACGGACACGGAGATCAAATATCTTACTCCAAAAAACCCCCGCACTCCAATTTTTTACACGCTCCCTAAAATACATAAAGCGGGAAATCCCGGAAGACCTATAGTATCTCAAACAGGCAGCTGCACGGAAAAAATATCAGAATTTGCGGACTACCACCTCAAACCCTTAGTTGTTAACATTGAGTCATATTTGAAGGATAGCACCGATTTCCTTCCGAAAATAAAACAAATGGGTAAAATACCGACCAATAGCATATTATGTACAGCGGACGTGTCTGCTCTGTACACATCTATTCCACACACAGAAGGTATTAGGGCCGCCAAGTTGGCATTAGATAAGAGAGGCCAAGATGCGAAACCCAGCACGTGGATCGTTCTCAGGATGATCGCACTTATATTAACGAACAACTGTTTTAGGTTCAACAGAGACTATTATTTACAGAAACTAGGCACCGCCATGGGCACGAAAATGGCACCTAATTATGCAATTATTTTCATGGACTATATAGAAACCAGATTTGTATCTACACAAGCAAAAATACCATTGGTCTGGTTGAGATATATAGATGATATTTTCTTTATATGGACACATACAAGAGAGGAACTCACCTCCTTCTGTGAAGCCATGAACTCTTACCACCCAACGATCAAGTTCACCTTCGATATCAGCAACACGAAGGCTAACTTCCTAGATACAACCATCTACTTACTACCGGACGGCACTCTCGGCAGTAAGTTGTACAGTAAACCGACTAACGCGTTTCTATATCTACACTACCAAAGTTGCCACCCACTACATTAAAAAAATAGCATCCCGTATTCGCAAGCATTACGCATTAAAAAAATATGCAGTGACCCAATACACTATGAACATGAATGCGCCAATCTCATAGAGAGGTTCTTGAAAAGAGGATATCCTTTAAACTTATTAACAAAAGCCATTAACAATGCACGTACCAAGTCCAGAGAAGAACTACTAAACCTAGAATGGAAGGAGAGTGAATGCAAGGTTATACCTTTCGTCATTAAACATAACCCACTGAACCCACCTATCGGACAATTTCTCAAAAAATACCAACACATATTAGGACAGGGGCCCGGAACCAGGGGTCTATTAGAATACAAAATGTTTGTCGCCTGTACAAAACCGAAGTCCATTAGGAATATATTAGTAAGAAGCGATATCTGTCGTGACTCTGCCCAGCCGGGCAGTGGACCCTGCGACAAGAACTGCATGATCTGCGTACACATGAAACCTACGAACAGCTTCTACAGTCACACTAATAAAATAGAATACAAAATACAGGGCACATCACATGCCAAAGTGTGAATGCCGTGTACTTAATATCATGTAACAGATGCGGAATGCAGTATGTTGGACAAACATCGACGACGATTAATACACGCATTCGCAATCATTTATATTGTATCATTCACAAACACCCGGACAAACCGGTGGCGGGACATTTCACGTCTCCCGATCATAACATACATAACGTCATAGTTACGGGTATTGTTAAAGACGTCACGGATACCAACCGTCGTCTCAGAACAGAAGAGAGTTGGATTCGCATGCTACGTACAACTCGACCAGAAGGTCTTAACATTATAGCTTGATGGCCAACACAAAACAGACAACCCGCTGCAAACGTAATACTACAGGCAAAAAACTGAGTCTACCGTGTATCAGATGCGGGAAGACGTACATTAATCTCAGGAATTTACGGAGACATGCGGACATAGCACATGGTCTCATACAAACATGGTATAAATGCAAACTCTGCAAACGCACTTATGGGAGAGAGGAAACGTACAAGAAACACCTCAAGGACAAACACCCGGGATACCACGTGGAACCGGAGAAGTTTGAAGACCGCACCAGAGTACAGGCAACCAAACCGGACATTAAACGCCCATTTGAGGCGCTTACGAAAACACAATTAGATCAGGTGAAATTCAGAGTGAAACCAGGACATGGGATAACTACAGTGGGACCACCGTACCTTGCAAACAATTCAGGCCGGTACTAGATGAAACTATAGAGTTACTCAAGGCTGACCTAGAATTATCAGAGAGTGAATACACGGCATCCATGCCAAATACATCAGAAGAAGACTACGCAATGAGAGACTACAAGACTTTGGGATATAAGTCTCTATCCACATCCACTGTTTGTCAGGATGAACTTGAACATTATAACTCAGTTTAATAATATTTAGGGTTAAAAGAAACTTGTACTTATGTCTAACTATATATACACATTTATACACATATATATTTAAAATAGTCAATGAATTGTATGTACATTGATCGTATTTCAGGTATTGATACTATAGACTAGAATGCTCATCTACTAATAATAACCGTGATGGAACTTTCTAGAACGTTATAAATAGATATCATGTGACGTTACCTGTATTACGTCACTATACACAATATAAATGTGCCCAGAATTTTAGTACTTCAGGGGACATATTTTGTTATCAAATCGTCCTGAAGCAGCCCACTGTTCGGGCGAAACCGGTAGACATACCCAATAAATAAGATTCAACTTATCCTGAGCTTGTTGCGATTGACTCCTACGCTTATTAACCTGTAAATTGTTATAATGCAATCTTACAGTACAGGTAACAGAATGTTTTTATTTCACTTGAATTCTTTATCTAAAGCCCGTCATTATGTAACATGATACTGGTATGTAACCTACTTCCTGGTTGAAAATAGCTGCACATTCTGTATATGAAAACTGTAAAACTATACAAACACTGGTAATCAGGGTGATAAGATAGACCGTCAAAAACCTTTTGAATACCAGTCCTGTGCAGTTACAATCGCGTGACGTTATCTTAAAAAAGTTATTGTTTGTTTGCTATGAACTTCGGCATTTAACTGACACTTCAACCACAATATTTGCTCCAGAAATTCTGCCTATGACTAATGCTGCATATGCATTGCATAAATTGACTATACTGGATGTATCTTAGCTGAATGGAGACATTCATACAAAAAAGAAACAGCTTGTTAGGATCAGCGAATTTTGAGAGCTAAACATTTCCACCTACAAAATGGCTGCATGCTTTGTACGAGTTAAAAAATGGAAATCTGAACACTTGCCAAAATAACAACTACTGGTGAAGAATTATTTCGGATTTCAGTTAATTTATCTCTGTGACGCCAGCCTTGTCGATATACAGGCGTTGCAATTTTTATCATTATAATGTGAAGATGACCACTATCCTTCTAACCTGATTACAACATATGTTATTTGTACATGTGCTGCCATCTCGACTAGATCCAAATTCATATTAATTTCAAAATGGCTACTCATGATACCAGAAAGCGCAAAGCTCATTTGAATCAATGAAGTGAAAGAAATTTAACTATTTGTGTACTGGGCATCATCAATACTGAGAACGGTAAACCATATAACTATAAAAAAAATGGTGATGATTAATCCGTCGGAGGATGTCTAGTCATTTCTAACTGAATTTTCATTACTTTTTGTGGTGGACACGTGTATTCCATTAGGAATCCATCCGTGGAAGACAACCAGAACATTTGGAAGAGTTGGATACGGACGTTGGATCTCGTTTGCCTAGTATTGCTGAGATATGTTTGTCAATAATTTTTAACAACAACAATCAACTTTGCAAAGACTTGAGCTAATCATCATGGCTACAGGGCAGCTGCCTGCTCAGCGAGGAGAACAATTACCTATAAGGGTGAAAGGTAGTTCTAAATGTCCGAATCACAAACAAAATGAGATCATCTTTGTTTGTATTGACTGTGACGAAGAACTTATTTGCGCCACTTGCTGTGTCCTGGCACACAAATCCCATGAATTTGTGGAACTCTCCAGTGTAACGAGGCAGAAAAACAGTATGCTGCAAGAATTTGTCAATGACACAGAAAAATATGCTCTACCTCAACTGAAAATAGAGATTCAGTCCACTCACAACGAGTTGACAGAAAATGGTGCTTACTTTTGCCAACTTCGCACAGGAGTTAAGCAACAGGGAGAGAAGTGTAAACAAGAAATTGATGACTTGATCACGGAAAATATCAAAATCTGTGACAAGATGGAAATTATAAACCAGAATTTACTGAAAGATCACATCAACCAACTGCAGCAACAGTATGCCACTTTGGACTGTCTTTTGAATGAGTGTAAACAAACACTTCAAACTGGAACAGCAGTTCTTGTGCATGACTTAGTATCGGATGTCCAAAAACTTGACTCAAAGATTCCAAATTTGCCTACACAACGCAGGCCTGACTTTCAGCCATGTAAAGATAAACTTGACTTTTTGAAAAAGGTTGTTGGCACACTTTCTACCGAAAGATTCCACAAGGAAAAAGTGATAAAAATCAAACTGCTAAAAGAACCAGTAGCCTGTTCCAAATTCAAATTTCGGCATCACATCAGCAGGATCTGCCCAACAACAGAAAGTCATGCTTGGATCAGCAACATTGAAAGCAATTTGATTGAGCTTATTGATACCAAGGGGCAAACTCAACAGGATGTCAGACACCTAGACAAAATTCGGGACATCAGCAGATCACCAAAAACAGGACACATCTGGTTTTGCTGTAAAGAAGCAAAAACTGTCTGTGAAGTTTCCGCATCATCAAAGAAACCAGTCATCAAGTTCAAAACAAATGACCAGCCGTACAGTATCTGTGTGACCAAGGAGGAGTCAGTTGTATTGGGTATGGAAAACAAAGTAACCATTTACTCAGAGAACGGCGTTATTCTCCATTCCAGCTCACACGACATGTCTGGGATTGCTTCATCAGGGGAGATAACCCAATGTCCAATTACCAGCAACATTGCGGTACTGAGTGCAGAAATATTGAAAAGAAAAGATTCTGGTGAGGATGCTTGGAAAGGAAATGTTATTATCTATGACAGAAAGCTGCAAGTGAAGACCCATTATAAAGGAAAAGGAATTCAATCCTCAGAAACTCCAACAGAAGAACTATTTTGTCCTCGATCAATATCCTACGACAGGAATGGAAATCTACTTGTGGCAGACATGAAGAGGAATACAATAGAGCTTATCAGTGGTTTGGGGCAGTACATCAAAACTTTGTGCTATAACACACAGGGGCAAGGAGTGATAGGACTTGAGAATGGTCAAGTACTGTGGACAACGTCCAAACCCTCTACAGGGAAGTGGGAGATACAACTCCTTAAATACTACTCTGCCTGAACTGTGAAGAAATATTACTCTTCCTCTGAACTGTGAAGAAATATTACTCTTCCTCTGAACTGTAAACAAATACTACTCTGCCTGAACTGTGAACAAATATTACTCTTCCTCTGAACTGTGAATAAATACTACTGTGTCTGAACTGTGAATAAATACTACTCTGTCTGAACTGTGAATAAATACTACTGTGTCTGAACTGTGAATAAATACTACTCTGTCTGAACTGTGAATAAATACTACTGTGTCTGAACTAACTGTGAACAAATACTAATGTGTCTGAACTGTGAACAAATATTACTGTGTCTGAACTAACTATGAACAAATACTAATGTGTCTGAACTGTGAACAAATACCACTATATCTGAACTAACTGTGAATAAATATTACCATGTCTGAACTGTGATCAAATGTCTCCTTGTCTGAACTTTGAACAAATACAACTATATCTTAACTGTGAACAAATATTACCATGTCTGCACTGTGAACAAATATTACTGTTTTTAATAATGACAAATACTATTGTATCTAAACTAACTGTGAATAAGTTCTTTTGTAATTTTAGAATTTGCTAACAATATATATTTCATATTGTATTAAACTGTACCAAATTATTGCAATGTAACAAGAAAATAATATACTCTGAGAAAGTTGAATTATATCATGGATGTCTGAGCCTTATGAAGAAGATCTGTATAGTCACTGCCTCAATTTCCCAATATTCAAAAACTCGTGTTTCAAAATTGAACAAATGGCCATAACACTGTATAAAGAGATGTATAAGACCGTATTTCAGAATGAGACCTGCCTTCCCAGGACACACAAGTATCACAAGTTTTGGAAATGTAGGTAAAACAGTGAGAAAGTTATGCTTTGGACAAGTTTTGGTGTAAAAAAATTAACAAAGGGCCATTACTCTGTTTTTGTTGGGTATACATATTAACCTCTATTTCACTAAGTAACACTGTCTTTCTTCTGTTTTACATAAACAGAACAACAGATACAATGGGCCTGGATCTACCACCTGGTATTAATCTCACAATTGTAACCTTAAAAGTAGACTAAAATAAAGCTACAGGCAAAATATCAGTGTCTTGACTTAAAGTCATTCAAAAGAACCCATTCCTAATGTTTTCGTGGCCCTTTTTGTACAATATTTATACCCACTGTCATATATTCTAATTTTTGCTTATATTCAAATGGTTCGGTCTTATATAACCCGTGAATTGTTATAATGCAATCCTACAGTACAGGTAACAATTTTTTTCCCCTCTGAATTCTTTATCTAAAGCCCGTCATTATGTAACATGATACTGGTATGTAACCTACTTCCTGGTTGAAAATAGCTGCACATACTGTATACGAGAACTGTAAAACTATACAAACACTGGTAATCAGGGTGATAAGATAGACCGTCAAAAACCTTTTGAATACCAGTCCTGTGCAGTTACAATCGTGTGACGTTATCTTCAAGAATTTATTGTTAGCTATAAACGTCGGCATTTTACTGACACTTCAACCACAATATTTGCACCAGATACCGGCTGTGACTAATGCTGAATATGCTGTGTATAAATTGACTATACTGGATGTATCTTAGATGAATTGAGACATTCTTACCAAAATAAGGAACAACTTGTTAAGATCAGCAAATCATGATTTTAAAGGTAAAACCTTTGAGAGCTAAACGTTTCCAGCTACGAAAGGGCTGCATACTTTGTGCAAGGAAAAAAATGTTAATCTGAACACTTGCCAAAATAACAACTACTGGTGAAGAATTATTACGGATTTCTGTTAATTTATCTGTGTAAGGTCAGCCTTGCCGATATACAGGTGTTGCAAATTTTATCATTATAATGTGAAGATGACCACTACCTTCTAACTTCATTACAAACGTATGTTGTTTATACATGTGCTGCCATCACGACTTGATCCAAATCGGTATTAATTTCAAAAAAGCTACTCATGTTGTCATGATACAAGAAAGCGCAAAGCTCATCTGAATCAATGAAATGAAAGAAACTTAACTATTTGTGTACTGGATATCATCAATGCTGAAGACAGTAAACCGTAAACTATAATAAATAGTGATGATTAATCCGTCGGAGGATGTCTAGTCATTTCTACCTGAGTTTTCATTACTTTTTGTGGTGGACACGTGTATTCCTTTAGGAATCCATCCGTGGAAGACAACCAGAACATTTGGAAGATTTGGATACGGGCGTTGGATCTCGTTTGCCTAGTATTGCTGAGATATGTTTGTCAATAATTTTTAACAACAACTATCAACTTTGCCTAGACTTGAGCTAATCACCATGGCTACAGGGCGGCAGCCTGCTCAGCGTGGAGAGCAACTACCTGTAAGGGTGAAAGGAAGTTCTAAATGTCCGAATCACAAACAAAACGAGATCATCTTTGTTTGTATTGACTGTGACGAAGAACTTATTTGTGCTACATGCAGCATAACGACACACAAATCCCATGAACTTGTGGAACTCTCCAGTGTAACAAGGCAGAAAAACAGTATGCTGCAAGAATTTATCAATAACACTGAAAAATATGCTCTACCTCAACTGAAAATGGAGATTCAGTCCACACACAACGAGTTGACAGAAAACAGTCCTTACTTTTGCCAACTTCGAACAAGAGTTAAGGAACAGGGAGAGAAGTGTAAACAAGAAATTGATGACTTGATCACAGAAAATATCAAAATCTGTGACAAGATGGAAATCTTAAACCAGAATTTACTGAAAGATCACATCAACGAACTTCAGCAACGATACGCCTCTTTGGACAGTCTTTTGAATGAGTGTAAACAAACACTTCAAACTGGAACAGCACTTCTTGTGCATGACTTGGTATCGGATGTCCAAAAACTTGATTCAAAGATTCCAAATTTGCCTACACAATGCCGGCCAGAGTTTCATCTATGTAGAGACACACTTGAGCAGCTGAGAGAGGTTATTGGCACACTTTCTACTGACAGATTCCACAAGGAAAAAGTGATAAAAATCAAACTGCTAAAAGAACCAGTAGCATGTTCAAAATTCAAGTTTGGACACCACGTCACTACAATTTGCCCTACACCAGACAGTCATGCTTGGGTCTGTAACTTTGAAAGCAATTTGATTGAGCTTATTGATACCAAGGGGCAAACTCAACAGGATGTCAGACACCTAGACAAAATTCGGGACATCAGCAGATCACCAAAAACAGGACACATCTGGTTTTGCTGTAAAGAAGCAAAAACTGTCTGTGAAGTTTTCGCATCGTCAAAGAAACCAGTCATCAAATTCAAAACAAATGACCAGCCGTACAGTATCTGTGTGACCAAGGAGGGGTCTGTTGTACTGGGTACTGTAAACAAAGTAACCATTTACTCAGAGAACGGCGTTATTCTCCATTCCAGTTCACATGAGATGTCTGGGATTGCTTCACCAGGGGAAATAACCCAGTGTCCAATTACCAGCAACATCGCAGTACTGACTGCTGAAATATTAAAAGGAAAAGATTCTGATGAGGATGGTTGGAAAGGGCACATCATCATACTTGACAAAAAGCTGCAAGTGAAGTCCCATTATAAAGGAAAAGGAATTCAATCCTCAGCAGCAGTTACAGAAGAAACGTTTGGTCCAGGATCGATATCCTACGACAGGAATGGAAACCTAGTTGTGGCAGACATGAAGAGGAATACAATAGAGCTTATCAGTGGTTTGGGGCAGTACATCAAAACTTTGTGCTATAACACACAGGGGCAAGGAGTGATAGGACTTGAGAACGGTCAAGTACTGTGGACAATGTCCGAACCGTCTGCGGGAAAGTGGTCGATACAACTCCTTAAATATTTCTTGGACTAAATTGAGAACAAATAGTTCTGTCTCTGAACTAGCAGTGAACAGTTTTAGAAACAGATACGGATGTCATGTGGACTCAGGAAAAAGACATGAATTTGAGTGAACACCACAGGTGTCAACCTCTGAAACCTGCGATGAGGGAGATCTCCCTCATTCCGTATCTCAAATAAGGGATAAAGTGTGTGAAAATCTTTTGCTCCATTTTTTCCAGAGAGAAGTGTTTCTAACACAAATTTCACTTTGTTGGGCATATAGTGATAATGACTGCATTATGAAATTAAAAAAGTAAATAATAAAGCAACTGTTCGCATTTGATCCTTAAATATTTTTCTTGGTTGTATCTGCACCCTTATAGATTTTTTAAAACAATAGTACTGTCACGGGTGGTCTAAATCCTCTAAAGGTATGTAAAACTGTATGATACTGTACAAATTATAACCAAAACAATTCTAGATAAATTATCAAAAAAGTTTTCCAAAATTTTACTCTTTAAAACATAACTTCCATGCTTGGTTTTGAATCAACAATTCTCTGTTTCAACGAAAATTTTCTAATATTTAATCTTGAATTAGATTTGTAAATATTTTAAAGATGTTAGATGTAACTTCACAGTCATGTTTCCTGTACATTATTTTGTAGAACTCTGCGGGTTCTTCAATATGCCTGTGTTGGTATTTTTAGTTTCTCTAATCACTCTGTATTATAGGATTAGTCTTTTGGACCTGCCTTGTAGCTTGACATTGGACATTTTCTATTGCTTCAATGTGTTTTTCGAGATGAGGACACAGGCCTGATTTGCATATTTGATGTGTGGCATAGATAAAGATATGTATAGCAACCTAAAACTCCATATTATCCATTGTATTTCGCTGAACTCTCATAATAAAATTATGGAATTAATGATGCTAATTAATTGTTTATGGTGACACTAGTATTTTTTTCAAAGTTCACAAAATCCAATACTTCTGCATTTTCCTTATTCCTTAAGTGTCTATTGTGACACTGGTATCAAATTCCAATACTTCTGCATTTTCCTTAAGTGTCTATTGTGACACTGGTATCAAATTCCAATACTTCTGCATTTTTCTTAAGTGTCTATATTGTGTCTGGATGAAAATTGAGTTGCCAAGACTTTGACCAGTATTGGAGAGAAAATATATCCTGTTGTAAAGTCTTACAATCTTCCTCATTACTGACTGCCCTAACTGTTTTCGTATCATCTGTGAAAAGGAGTGAATTCGTTCTGGGACATGTTATATAATTACATCAGGCATGTCATTTATATCAATTACAAATAAAAGTGGCCCTAAAGACAACCGTTGTGGTATGCCCTTCATTACACAACTCTTTGTTTTCTTCCTAGTAAAAATTCAGCTTTCCAAGAAGAGAACCTCCCCAATTTTAAATATTTTGCTAGGATATGCATAAGCTGTTGATGAAAAACTTTATCAAATCTAATCAAATAACATCAAAACCCTCTCCTTTATCCAATATATTGTAGAAGTTGTTTTAGAAGTTGTAACACCGTAGATCTGCCTTCAATGAAGCCATACTGTACTTTGTTAAAAAGTTTGTATTTTCATATATATGTTTTAATTTCTTCCCTAATTAGTGATTCAATTCAATCTGCCACTCTACTAAACCTTGAAGTTTAATTCCTTCCGAAAATTGGTCGTCTGCATATATTGCTGTCTATCATTTACTACCTGTTGATTGACTATTCTGCTTGTTGACTGGTCAAAACATCATATGCCATGGAAATTCTGCAGTTCCTATTTTTAGTCAAGGTTACCAGATTGCATTGCTAACTTCTTGCAAGTGTTTAAGAATTGCTTTTCAACATCACATTTTGTAACAAGAGGCCCATGGGCCTTAACGGTCACCTGATATATTTATACAGAGAGTTGATTTTGTTTTTAACATGAACAGAAATATTATTCAAAGTGACAAAAAACAATAAAACCACCTTACTCAATATCTAGCATACAGATTTCAGACTAAAAAGGATTTGAAACTAGCACCTTTGATTCTTAACAAGGAAAATGAAGAAATTTTAGCACACTGACTCCTTTGAGCCCCACCCTACAGCCCTTGG